CTATGGAAAAGAAAGACGTACCTTGTTAATACATGTAGTAACTTTCACTCCCTTTGAACTTTTTTTTTCATCCTATCCCCACGACCGCTCTGTTTCAGATGTACCCTTCCTTTACTTGAGTGTAATATACCCACCAATTTTCGCCTTAATTCGTGTCCCCGAACTACATCTTAATAGAAGAGGTATGACTTTGATACCATTTGCAATGATCAATACCCTAGATTCAAAATTCAAATTCGACACTTGTTGGTTCGGACATTTTTTGCATCTTTTGCAACATGGTCACGTTAGTCTCAACATTTTAAAGAAAGGTTTGTTTTACGGGTTGGAGAAAGATTTTAATACTTTACTTGAGAAAGTTTCCCAAGAATAAAAAAATGTGCGGCTTTTGTGCAATCTCTATCCCATGCAAATGATTGGGGTTTTAGGATTATTTTTATAATATTAAAAAAAAAAAAAACTCATCCTTCGTTTCCTTTGCTTTTTTACTATTTTTATTTTATATTATTTCTTACTCCAATTATTTATTTTTCTCCATTTTCTTTCATTTTTAATTCTTAAATTATTTACTTTGTTGTTTTTTAATATGATTTTTTTTTTTAAAAAAAAATCAACTATTTATGTTTATTATTGTAACAACGCTTAAAAAAAAGAAAAAAAAAACTGTAACCTCCTAATTTTGTTAGCATTTAGATTTTAGCTAGAAATTAAATACCAAGACATTTAGTAAGTTAGTAGAAAAATTATTTAAAACGGCCAAACAAAAGTAAGGGAGAGGAGCAGAGTGGTACAACATAGATAAATTATTATTATTCTTACCTAGTGAATATAGTGTTATAACAAACAATATTTGGATTGAATGATCTAAACGGCATGAAATAATATTGACATATTTTTAATTTAAGTTTAACTGTCAAACACAATTTAGACACAATGGAAACATGAAATTCGATTTTTGCTGAGTCAATTAAATTTATGTTCAAAATAGGTAAAACCTCAATATAAGTGAGAACGAATTCGAATAATGAAAGCAAGCAAATTATGATGCATGAGGTATGATGATGTATGAGTTATGATGATTTATGAGCTGTATCCCGTATACTAATATATGATGATGTATCAGTTTTTCTAGACGAAAACGATGTACCGATATCTCATTGGTTATCTCCAAATCTCTTAATGTTACTCCTAAAAGCTCTCGAGTATTTTTGAGATGTGGTACTAATAGGAGGGTAGTTTTGAAATTTATAAAAAAAATGTTTTATAAATATTAATAAAGGGTATTTTGGATTTTTTTTTTAAGTTCAAAATATTTGTGAAATTTTTGAAAATTTATAGATATTTTTAAGAGTATTTTTGTTAATTTTAGGGAACGAGAATAATTAAATTGAGTAAATAAAGGAGAAGAGAATGAGAATAATTAAATTAAGTAAACTAAGGGTATGTTATAAATATTAATAAAGAGCAGGTCATAAGAGTAATGGAGCTGTCACCACCGCAGAACAAGGATACGGTGGTTGAGATTACTATCCAAAATCTGAAATTCCATTTGGCAAATCTTAAAGATGATCGTGAAATGAATCCCAAAAAGACTTCGATCTATAGAATACTAGAGTATGTAAAGAAGATTAATCCAAACGCATTCAAACCGCAACATGTATCGTTGGGGCCATAGCGGGGGAATTGCATTTGTTGCCCATGGAGAAGGAAAAAACATTTAGCACTTGAGTATTTTGTAAGGAGCTGCGGATTGTCCATGGAAGACATCGTGAATGAGCTGCAAGACATGTTGGAAGATCTATTTAGATCGTATGATAACCTTGATGATAGATGGAAAATAAAACCAACCAAATTTTTGGAGCTCCTGTGTTATGTGTTAAAGATCATGTACTTATTTAGATAGCTGTCATGTCAGTTAGTATCTAATTAAATTGGAGTTAGATTTAGTTTTTGATTTGACTTAGTTTTGATTTGATAAGATTTTGTTTTGATTTGTTTACTGGTTTGTTACTAGATTTTTCTACCGATTTTTAGGTAGATTTTTTAAATATGTTTTTGTATTCTCTGTGTATAGAGCATTCTTGCTCTTCATAATTTAATTTTCTCATCAACCCAATAACTCACTCTTTCACCAACAATTGGTATCAGAGCTATCTTCTTAAGGGATGTGTGAGATCAAGATGGAAGGAGAACCCAGTTTTTCCGTTGTTGCACCACCAGTCTTTGATGGAGACAATTATCAAGATGGAGATAATTATCAAATGTGGGCAGTTCGTATGGAGACTTATTTGGAGGCTTTGGATCTTTGGGAAGCAATAGACGAGGATTACGAGGTCCCTCCGCTTCCAGCAAATCCTACTGTAGCACAAATAAAATTGCCTATTTGCCGTTGTATCTCAAATGATCTTCATGCGAATAATGTCCCTCAAAGCAGCAAAGAAAATCTGAAATTATCTCAAGGCTGAATATGAGGAAGATGAGAGGATTCGTGGAATGAAAGTCCTGAATTTGATTAGGGATTTCAAGTTGCAGAAGATGAAGGAGTTAGAGTCGGTGAAAGAGTACTCTGACAGACTTCTCAGCATCGCCAACAAAGTGAGATTGCTTGGTTCTGTATTAAATGATTCCAGGATCGTTGAAAAGCTGCTAGTCACTGTTCCAGAGAAGTTTGAAGCCACCATTACTACTCTAGAGAACACCAAAGACTCGTCAAAGATTTCTCTTACAGAGCTCTTAAATGCTTTACAAGCACAAGAGCAAATGAGGTCTATGAGACAAGAAGGGGTGATTGAAGGTGCATTACTTGTTAAGCATCAAGATAGCAGCAAGTATAAAAACAACAAAACTTTCAAAAATCAATTGACGTATGGAGATTCATCTGCCAATTATCAGAAGACAAAAGGAGGAGGTTTCAAAAAATCTTATCCACCTTGCCGCCATTGTGAGAAGAAAAGTCATCCACCATACAAGTGTTGGAGAAGACCTGATGCCTTCTGCTCTAAATGCAATCAACTTGGACATGAAGCTGTGATCTGCAAAGCCAAAGATCAGGGGAAAGAAGTAGATGTACAGGTAGTTGATCAAGAAGAAGAAAAAGATCAATTGTTTATGGTTACTTCTTCCTCAGGAAAAGAATCAAGCGAGAGCTGGTTGATTGACAGTTGGTGCACAAATCACATGACATATGACAAGGAGTCTTTTGAGGAATTAAGAGACACTGAAGTCAAGAGAGTGAGGATTGGCAATGGTGAACACTTGGAAGTCAAGGGAAAAGGCACAGTAGCTATAACAAGCTATGAAGGTACAAAATTTATTCCAAATGTTTTATTTGTACCTAACATTGATCAAAATCTGTTAAGTGTTGGTTAGTTACTTGATAAAGGCTATAAAGTGTTGTTTGAGAATAAACAGTGCTTGATCAAAGATGCTAGTGGCAAAGACTTGTTCAATGTCAAAATGGAAGGAAAAAACTTTGCTCTAAATCCGACGACCTTTATATCCAGAGTTAGTGCTACTAAGATTTGGCACAAAAGACTTAGACACTTTCATCATCGAGATTTGCTTCAGATACAATCAAAGAAGCTGGTAGAAGAACTCACTAACATTGATGAGGACATGCCTCCTTGCCGTACTTGTAATTTTGGGAAGCAACATAGGCAACCCTTTCCTAAACAGGCATGGAGAGGCTTGAAAAAGCTGCAACTGGTTCGTACTAATCTTTGTGGTCCTCAGCGAACACCACCATTAAATTGTAATCTTTATTACACTGGTTTTATTGATGATCTAACAAGAATGTGTTGGATCTTCTTGCTGAAGCAAAAGTCAGAAGTTGCGGGTGTATTTTGGAAATTCAAAGCCAGAGTTGAGAATGAAAGTGCATGCTTGATTCAGACTATAAGATCAGATTATGGCAAAGAGTACACTTCAAAAACTTTTGACAGCACCATACACTCCTCAACAGAATGACGTCAGTGAAAGGAGGAATAGATTCATAATGAAGATGACGAGATGCATGATTCATGAGAAGGATCTTCCAAAACGTTTTTGGGGAAAAGCAGCAAACACTGTTGTGTGCTTGCAAAATCGAATTTCAACAAAAGCTGTGAAGGACCTGACACCATTTGAAGTTTGGTATGGTTATAAACCTTCTTTAAAGTTCCTTAGAGTATTTGGGTGTCTTTGCTTCACTTACATTCCACACGTCAAGTGTGATAAGCTTGACAAAAAGACAAAAATACAAAAGTTGACATCTTTGTTGGGTATAGCACTATATCCAAAGCTTACAGAGTTTTTCAACCATATACTAGTCGTGTTATTGTGAGCCGAGATGTTCATTTTGCTAAAAATGAACAATTGAATTGGGAAGAACTGACGATGGTGAATCAGATTTCTAATGCACCAAACAATTTAACATTTGGTAGCATGTTAGAAGAGTCTAAAGATGAACGATAAAAAGATTCTAATGCACCAAACAATTTAACATTTGGTAGCATGTTAGAAGAGTCTAAAGATGAACGATAAAAAGAGTCTGAAGATGAACGACAAGATGCTTTGGTTGATGATGCACCTGTCAGAGGAAGAGCTTTCGGTGATCGAGAAAAACAAAAATCTGGGAGTTGGTTGATCGACCCCTAAACAGAAAGATAATTGGAGCAAGATGGGTGTTCAGAAAAAAGCTTGGACTTCACAGTATCTAAACAAGGAGGAGTGTTAAAGATCATGTATTTGTTTAGATTGCTGTCAGTTAGTATCTAATTAAATCTCGGTTAGGAGTTAGATTTAGCTTTTGATTTGACTTAGTTTTGATTTGATTAGATTTTGTTTTAATTTGTTTACGGTTCGTTACCAGAATTTCTGCATATTTTTAGGTAGATTTTCTAAATATTTTTTTTATATTCTCCGTATATATATAGAGCATTCTTGCTTTTCATAATTTAATTTTCTCATCAACCATTCAATAACTCACTCTTTCACTAACAATCTTGGATGATTGTTTAATTATGCAGGTCTTGTTGGATCCTTCATCTTTACAGACGTTGCCTAAGGATGCAGCACGAGATATGTTGTTGCTTGAGAATAAGCTACCCATGATGCTTCTTGACAAGCTGGGTTCCATGTTAAAGCTAGAGAATAAAAAAGTATGTCTATCTCTATTTAGCTGAAGCCCCCATTTAGTAAATATTATCATTTTTTAGTTTTCCTTTTAAAACCTCTTTGCTCGGGAGAGGTTTTCGGTTGGAGAGGAGAATAAAACATTTTATAAGGGTGTGAAAACCTCTCTCGAGTATAAGTGTTTTTAAAACCTTGAGGGGAGCTTGAAAAGAAAAGTCCAAAGAAACAATATCTACTAGGTAGACTTAGGCCATTACACTAATAATGATGTGAAAACCTTTTCCTTCCAGTAGATGTGTTTTAAAAACCTTGAGGGTAAGCCCAAGAAAAAAGCCCAAAGAGAATAATATCTGCTAGCGATGGATTTGAGCCGTTACACTAATAATGGTGTGGAAACCTCTCCCTATCAAACATGATTTAAAAACCTTGAGGGCAAACCCGAAAGGGGGAGCCTAAAGAGGACAATATCTGCTAGCAGTGGACTTGGGTCGTTACACTAATAAGGGTGTGGAAATCTCTCCATAGAAAACATGTTTAAAAATCTTGATGAGAAGCTCGAAAGGGAAAGTGCAAAGAGGATAATATATGCTAATGGTGGGCTTAGGCAGTTACAGTACCATCTTATTTACTATCTTTTGCTTCTAACTAATATAATTATGTTTGATCATTTGAAACACACCTTGTGATGCATCCACTGAAGGTCAAATTGCTTGTTTTGAAGTTCACGAACTTTCCTACCAATGTAAATGAAGGGTTAACGAAGAAAGACTACTCACACCTTCTAGATATGTATAGGGCGGAATTGCAGTTTCAGGAGGGGAATGGACAGAAACTACTTCAGCACAACCACTTGGGAATGAAACTCGAACACGTGGAAATGGGTCATGAAATTCAGCTAGCCACACGCTTCCATAAAGCTGGGATCAAACTCAAGAAAGGGTGTAACCTTACGAATGTGAATTTTGATGAAAACAAAGGTGTGTCGAGCCTCCCGTTCATCGAAATGAATGCTAACATTGAATCAAGCTATTTGAACGTGATGGTATTTGAGAAGCTTTTTGGGATTGATAACATAGTAGGCTCTTTCATCATCTTGGTGGGTAATCTACTGGAGAAAGATAAGGTAGATTCATTCTATCAGCTGGCCAAAGGCAAGTTTTTGGACATGTCGGGTCACTACCCTTACGTCTACAATTCATTGAATGAGCATTGTAAAAGGCCATGGAGAATATGGTGGACGACACTAAAAGATGTCAACTTTCAAAGTCCATGGACCATTATCTCTACTCTTTCTGCTTCGATCGGTTTTGTGTTCCTTACTATCCAAACCGTATACGGAGTGTATGGCTACTACCTCCCACGTCGATTTTGATCTAACACCACTCACATGCTTTGGTTTCAATCAAGTTTTAGTTATTTTGTTTTCTTATGGTTATTATTTGCGTGGTTGTTTGTCGATATCCTATCTCTGACATTATCTTCATGATCTCGAACTTCAAAAATTTCTCTACTAAGCGCCAAAGTTGTCTCCAAAAAAAACTTCAATTTAGAATCTTTTTGGTACGCACATAGAAAATCTTTCAAAATTGCATTCCAAAACAAGATATATGTGTAGGAAAAAAAAATGTGGGATAGAATTTGCCATCGAGACGTTGCCCATAGCATACAATATAAACAAAAAAGAAGAGGTGTGTACACTTGTTTTGGAGGAACGTTTGGGATCGCAGGTCATTTCTGTAGTGTTACAACGCTTTATATAGCATTTCAACATTACTCGTTGTGTCTTTGACTTGAGCATGGTAGCATCCACGCATTGTTTTTAAGAAACAAATGAAACCTTGACCTAAACCACACTCCATAACCCTTGGACTAGAAGTTGAGGCTCCTACTTTGCCAAGTGGGTTTTGATGGTCAACCCGTTCTAACCCCGAAACTCAATTTGAATGCTCCCAAGTCTGACTCTTCATATTAATACATCATTATGACTTGTGTCCCATCAAGAGTTATGATCGGGATTTATGCTCCAGAGTCTTGTAATTAATTAATTAATTAATTTTTAGTAATAATTTTGATTATTTTATTTTAAAATTAATATTATTTACTATATGAAAAAATCAATTTTATTAGTGTAAGTTTGAATAGTATGTGGTTGCCATAGAGAAAATCATGTTTAAGTAGAAACCTATAGGGTATACAGTATATGAATAAGATTAGTATATGAATAAGATTAGGTATCTTGTCTGGTTGTCTGGTTAATATTATTGATACAATCCACTTTTATAATTGTTACAAATGATTTGATCCAAATAATTTATGAAGAGACGTATAAGTGGAGATATTATATATAATGAGTTTGTATAACATTCGACCACAAAATATTTAATCTCTCCTTATAAATCCATTAATTGATAAAATTAATATTTCACAGGATGATGATATGCACCTAGAGCCTAATCTTAAGTGAGTTATGAACTTTTGTCTACAAGGTTTGTTCTTATGATTTTTTTAGCTAATTTAATAAGCCAATTATTTGGGGGACTTGACCAAATACTGGTTGAAATCTAACTAGCTTGAGAGGAATTTAGTTTATAGTTAGATCATAGACAACCTTTTTATCAGAGAACCAGTGATACACACGACCATTTTCTAGTCGGGCTAGCATTCTCCAATGCTCTTCCTGAACAGCCAATAGGAATAATGACCGTCGTAGTATTATGATAAACATAATAATCATTTTTCTTTTCGTCATGTACACGTCTGTACTCATCGTAAACGGATAAATTTTCCAATGCCTGAAAGATACAATGATGCATGAGATCCAAACATTTTTCGATTATTAAACCATGTAAATCAACCCCTTCCATTTTTCCTTCCTCTCATATCATTCTACAGCATAGCCTTTAATGCATGTATCAAGGTTGAATATCGTATCATTCATATCATATATCGTATTATGTAATATCATGCACATAACATGTCCTTCAACGTATCATATTATATCATACACGTATCATATCATAAAACATGTCACAACATATAGTAAGTATATCGTCAAACTTGTTACACCATAACATATTTCATAACATCAGTACATCATATCACAACACGTGTCATAACATTAATATATCATATCATAGTCATATCAAATCACATACATATCATTTCATAAACATTTCACATATATCAAGCTTATGACATGTGCAGAACTACGGGGCACGTATCATAATACAAACATATACTTCTAACCATGTCGATAATAAAGTCACTTACTTAGTTGGCCTTAGTTGACGTTCTTCCTAAAATAAATGTTGAGTCCATCCTTCGAAGCTTATTCCAAGTGTCACTAGGGTATCTCCTATTAGAACATTCACTCAATTTCCTTAATAACTCTAGTTTCCTAATCTAATTTAATTTAAATTTAGGAGTTGAGCATCATATCGACCTTAATTGCCTTAAATAAGGTTGTATTCAGCTCTAGGAGGATAAAAGATTAGGAATCGGTATTAAATTGTCTATACAAAGCTGAATGACCAAATTTTGAGTTGAGGAGCCGAGCCGCGTGGAGCCAATTGAGCGGAAGGAGTCGACAGCAGCAGGTGATGGCACGTTGCTAATCGGGTTGAGGCGCGGTCTCTAGTTGCTTCTCTCGGGCTCGCGGGTTGGTGTTACTGGGCCGTCCAAATCGTGGGCCACTCACCTTATATTCACAAGGAAGATACTATACTAAGGAACTAGGATTATACTCTTATGTATGGTAGAATAAGTTGTGTCCATGAATATTACCACTGCATGCAAGTTAATCTTTTTCAGCAGTTATTGGTAATTACAATTTGATCAAAAAGTTTGTTTTATCTCTATAATTAAGTATCATTAATTCTCTTGGGATCAATTTATTTATGATTCAATCATAAACTAAGTCTACATCCACTTTGGCTCGTAAGAGAGTGAAACCTCTTTGTCAAAGTCTCAAAGTCCAACTCTTAGAAACTACTAATCTATTTTTCCTGTAGGTGAAGATTAAATCATCTCATGAAATTACTTCCTAATTCCTAGTAAAGTCCTCACAATAGCAGGCTTATTGAATTAGCTACCAAAGTCATTTTTACGTATGTAAATCACAAGTTCTCATAGGAAAAATTTTGTAACTCACTCAAGATTAAGATCGAGTCACATATGATCTTCATATGAAATATTAATCTTCTCAATTAATTAATTTATAAACAGAGATCTGAGGTCTAATTTTATACCAACTTATTGTATAAGATATCTCCACTCATATGTCTCTACAAAAACTTCGATCAAATCATTTGTAATAATTACAAAGTGAGTCGTATCAATAGACTATTTAGGTTATTTTTTGAACATGATCTTCATTGTTATTCAAGATGACACTAATAACATTAGATTCGCCATATAATTTATTATTAAAAATAATTATTATTAATTTCCAAGGCTTTACGGCTTAAATTCGAAGAGATTCCTCATCTTCATATATGTCAATCTTCTCAAGTAAAAGAAGCATCTCTTCATAGGTTTTTTTTTTTTTTTTTTTTTTTTTTTTTTTTTTTTTTTTTTTTTTTTTTTTTTTTTTTT